CGCAGAAATCGACTGGAAGCGAAGACAAGTTGGCCAGCATATGACTTGAGCTTAAAGTATGAAGGCGATGACTTCACAGTTGGTCCCAGTCGGGCGCTGTCGACTCTTCGGTTGAGGGCGCTAGGACTATAGACACACACTTGATCGGAAACCCCATCGTGTGATCTGTGCATAACGCGAAGACGCCCGCCCTTACGTGGATTCCAACCGGTGATCCCATGGTTGCAGGCCACTCGGCCACCGGCCGGCTGAGAGCAACATAGTAGATGAACAATCAAGGGTTCTGTTAGTGGGCGTGATAATACCCAGTTGTTCGAGTCGAAGTAGGGAGCTGCCTTAGGGGACATCACCCGAGCCTTTGGCAAAAGAACCTGCCTGAAAGATAGCCTGGAGAATTCAGAGGATCGCTCCCATTGGGAGTCATTGATTGAATGTTCACTGCGTACCTCTTTTGTTTGGTTGCTTACCGAACTGGGACCGAATCCTCCCAATGATTTCAGCACACTTGCTGTAGTACCATGCCTCACCGAGGTGACGTAAGGAGCGAGTTACATGCACCATGCCGCAGAGTTGTTAAACAGCTATTTGTGGCTTTCATAGCAAAAAAAGCTTACCAGGCGAAAACTCACCACGTCTTGGAAAAGGGTAAAGCCGAACCACCCAGCTAGCGCTAGAAGGAGGTAGTTCGGCAAGTCATAACCATTGTTCATAAGGATCCCGCTAATATGGAACAGCAAGAGGGGAGAAGACGCCTGGGACATAACTTCAGCGCTCGGAACAAATAAATATGTCTACACCTTGTCAACAGCACACGGACAAAAGCAGTTAAGCGTTGTGCGGAGATAAATTGCAATGGAAGAGGCAGCTTCTTCTTTGTGACCATCAATGCTCCGAGTTATGGTCAGTCTTAACCTGCAGAGAAGCCTGCAACTGAAGATTGGCGGGCCATACTCTATGTCTTCCGAGGTTTAATGCCGGGTGGAGCCCTTGGTCCCCGGCGTGAGATGTGAGACGGATCAATAGCACATGGTTTAATCATTGGTTGCTTCAATTTCATTTGCCAAGACATAGTCGGCTCTCTAGAATTTTCTCCATCCTACAGCCGAAGAGAGCGTGGCTCTCCGCGGTAGGTGGGATGCAAGCATACGTTCTATGGGTACAAGGTGAAATAGTATTACGTCAAGTATCGAAGCAAGAACGGATTAAATAGTTTCTGGAGAGCAACAGACACTAAGAGAAGGAAACTGCGCATCCAGTACTGATACGTTAACATTTTCAGTACCGAAACCGATAGCTTTGATTAACACATTAAATTCCTTCATTCACTGGAGTGGAACAAAGACACTACTAGTCCGAATGTACTCTACTTGTAACCTAGAACCGGAGATCAGCCAGAAACGAAAGAGACGTTCTGCCACGCCAATGACTACTTATTGCTACTAGTCAATACTTTGCCCCATCGACTACTAGGCAGACGCTGTTCACTAATTTTTGGTTCCATACAAATATTCGGTTCAGCTAAACAATTATGATCCCGATACCTAATTACGGTAGATTACTACGAATAGATCTTTTCTTTTGGCATAAAATGATCATATTATCACAAACCTACCCGCTTTCTGCTGTTCCCGCTCGGGATCAAACACTTGTGCTCGATGAGTCCCACTACTCCATCTGATCCACCATAACTGCCGCTTGTGGCTTATTCGCAGATGGGTAAATCACGGAAATTCACTTTCTTAGTAAGCTACACCGTAATCCAGAAAAACCCTGCATGGGTTGGTTCTATTCAAGGTATTACGATATTTTGGTTATCGTTGGCTAGCGTGTTTGAACCAGTTCGCTCTTCAGCGTTACCTATAGTATTATTAATGGTATGAACTACTACCGCGGTGGCCGAGTTGTTAAGGAATAGGAGATCCAAAGGTGTATCCCGGCGAGGGTTTATCTGCCGGCGATGCCCAATGTAACATTCTTAGTGTATTGGAATATTACCACGCAATTAAGGAATTTCCTTAAGTGGAAGGAAACAAAGAATAGGAGGTAGAATCAGTTATTGAGAAATTCAGAGGCGACAGAAGTAACTAGGGTAACAGTCGGGTAATCACTGAATTCATACACACAGTATGTCTGTAAGACAATCGCTTCAGCTAGACTGACGTAGCCGGACGTGCTCACACGCACTTAGTAAATGTTACACACACACACACGCACACACAATCACACAGTCTGCTGAGGACTCAGTGAGTAAGTATAGCATAGCTTGACATGTTGAACTGCATGTCTGACAAATGAGACAGTGTATGTAGAGACAGACAATCACCAGCTAGCCACAAAATCGGGGCAACAGGCATGAGTCACTGCAGACGCGCGTAAGCGTCCGAAGTCAGTTGGTAACTCAAGCGCACAAACTATCACAACACCCTTTCGTTTTGAGCGCAACAACGGTTACTTGAAGGTTCTGGCCAAATTACGACAGTACTCATGAGGTTCTCAGTCGCTCCCATGAGAGGTGTTCCGTGGACGCTTATCTAGTAAACTACGCGGATGTACCAATTACTATTCAGGTACCCGGATCAAAAGTAGCTCCTCCATGCACAACTCAGTGAAAATCTGCAGTTTTTCTATGTATCCGACTACTTGCTAGCGATCAGTAGACAGTGGTTGATAGGCTAACGAATGGATTTATCGTTGAAAGCCTTACTCACTCGACCTGAATGTCCATGACTGTGTAAAAGGAAATACAGTCTTTGGACTCAATATCCTAATAGTAGAAATCTCAGTGGCACGAATCTGTTTGGCGAAAATCGCTGTCTGGTTGGGGACTAAAACTGTGCCTACACCCCGTAGTTTCCGGAGTTCCCTTTGCTGGTAAGCTCTCTTTGAAAGTAGCGCCTTCCAGATGCATAGGGACCGTCTGGCTGTTTGGTTGCGGTGAACCGTTTTAGGATTTCTCCAAAGACCCCCACTACTTCTTAACAATCTGCATATGTTTGTAACCCCATGTAAAATAAATTAGCTGAATATGTAAGCTGACGTGGTGCATAAATTAAATCTTAGTGCTGCACCTTCGTAGATCATAAACTACAGAAGTTTCATCTAACAAATGGTCAAATGGGTTTCAGAAAACTTGGTAGACGACCGGTTAATGTATTTATGGTAATAGACAACGTTTCGCTTTTGACACAAAAGCTTCATCAGGCCAAATGGGTTTGTTACCTAAGCTGCCTGCTCTATTTGCGCCAGTGCTGTGTTGATTAAAATAAATAAACAACGAAATTTGTATAGTTGTTGACAAGTGGTAATGATTATTTGTACACAAATGTTATGTAATGATTTAAGCGGTTTAATAATAATAATAAAATAATAATAATAATAAATAATAATAATAATGTATTAGCTGTAAGCAATAACGGCGCTTCGTTGCCGCGCTACCACCACCAGTCGCGCGTGGGCTGAGTATACTGCCAGGACGCCCGCCCCGAAAGCTGAATCGTAGCGGTGACCTTACAATTGCAGGCCAGGAGCGCCAATCACGCGGCCAACTTCCTGCTTAAAACAATAATGCAAGTAAAAAAATAGCATTTCGGATCACGAATATCCCATTGAATCATCGACCCGATCCCTCAAAATTCAAAATATACGAATATTTGTACCACTGTTTCTTGTTCTCATGATGCATCACAGACACCACGAATGGATCGTTATGAATGAGTACACGTGTGTAATAACTGGCTGCGCCGAAAACGTATTCAGTTCAGTCGTCGCTTTTAATCGATACAGCACAGTATTGCCGTGGGATCAACATCCTCGTTGCGGAGGGGAAAAGATGTCCGGACCGCAAATCACCCAAAGAGTCAGTCTATTCAACACACTGACATTCTATCGCTAGAAAAACATTCGCCGTTTAGTTGGGTATATAGTACGCTGGGGTGAGGATTCCAGTACGACGAAACTTCAGTAAACAAGATCACCACCAATTACGATATCCGTGATTTGCCTCCAGTTATCACGTCGCTGTGATTAACATCTGTTGCACATCCCTTGCTTCATTTTCGTATTACTGCGCTGCTGCAGCGGGAGCCTCTACAGTGATCTGTTGAACGTCCTTCCCTATAAGGGTAAACGTACGAAATGACGTCAAATCGAAGCCATTAATTGTTCCTCTGGGCAATCCGTATGCTTCATTCCATGGTCAACTGTAAAGTGTTATATTTCGAACCACAAAATGCCTATCTTCATGCATAGTTCAACAACTATGCCGAATCCAATCTGGCATTTTTCAGTTCTCAAGGCTCGGAACATTATTAGACCATGCCATGAGGGTTTAATTTGGTTTAATCGGATGATATAGACTAGCGTCATTACTATTTGGTTTAGCTTACTGTCTCTGGCCCACTTCGAAAAGGTCGACGCAACACTGAACCTCTCACTCTGATGAAACGAACAAACAGGATACAAAGGAAAAAGCTACTTCCTTTCAAAATGCTACGTGCTACCTTCCACAAATAGACCCCACTAACTATTGCCATTATCTACTGCGTGCGCTAGGGGGTTACCGATTACCTCAGGATACCGACTGTTTGGGAGCAGTGACGAGTGTGGTTACTGCATCTCTCAGACGTCCATGTTCTTTGATGCTATCTTGCGCCAACCGAAATACAGTAAGAATTATGACAACAACCGTGAACTCTTCGTGTCAACTCAACAAAAGGTAGGAATTTGACGTGAATTCATCCATCCCAATCTTAGGCATTGCGAGAGTACCCAGGTTTCTTTCGAATGCTTAAATTCAAACTCCGTCTTTATTTTCCCACGAGTTTATCTGGACAAGACGTCAAATGATTCCAGTGACAAGTGAAAATAACATAACAGTTAAGAGGAATCAGACGCTGCAAGAGCAGCCGATGCACCGCATCAGAAACTGATTCTGTAGAGGTCACCATGTTTCGCATACATACCTATGCATTTCTCCTTTCATTCCAACAAAAGGGAGGCCATTAACTATTATCCCCTCTAGCTCTGTCCTTTGAGACTGATTCTGAATCTTCCTCCTCGGCCTCTTCTTCTTCTTCTTCTTCTTCGTCTTCGTCTTCCTCTTCATCATCTTCCCACTCCGATGCGCCTCCAGTGTCCTTCCCAGCCGAAACGTTAACATCGTCCACCTCGGCATCCTCCTCCTCCTCCCCATCATCATCGTCAGTTGAGCCATCTTCCTCTTCTTTGCTTTCCCCTGCTTCTTCATCTACTGGGACACGTTTGCGCCTGCACTTTCGCCACAGCGTAATCCAGCATTGGATCCAAGGTGGAGTATCTGCCAGTCCGCCTCCGTAGTTTAAACGCCATGTGCCTTTGCGTCGCATAGACTGAACTTGGTCGCGTAACTGACAGATCACGCAAGGCCAGCAGCAGCAAAGCAAGCAGAGCAAATCGCTGATCAAGTTCCCTTCTAGATTATGTTTGGACCGCACACGGAGGCGCAACGGAATGCTCAACAGTGGAGCAATTGGAAAGAGGGTGATGCCGAACACTAAGGCTATGGGCCACGGGAACCAGCAGATATAATGGTAGAGATCCGCCATGGCAAACGGACAACACCAGAGACAGCAGCAGCAGTTACCTGTGAAATAGAAAGTAAAAATCGAGCGAAACATGGGGACTGAATCGAAAGTATGGATGCACAAGAGAAGTATTTTACTGGCTAGTTGATAAGACTAATTGGAAAAGTTTCCCTCAGGACATGCGAACATACTTTGGGAAGGTTTTATAACGCGAATCCGTTTAGTAAAAGCTTGTGTTACTATTACCTTTCGCTCTTGACACTAGTGTTTCTTCACGCCCGGTGGACTAGTACATAAATGGTTAGGCTTATTCTAACAACATGGGCTGACGATTGCGAGAAATAACCCGAGCAAGTGGTCATCCTTGTGGTAAAGTGACCATGGCACAGGTCATTCTCATGTTATGCTCTTTTGTTGCTGTTGATTTTAAACATGATGGCTCGTCGTTTTCGCCCCAACCTTAGTGAGTCCGCTTACGCTGTGTAGACTGGCAAGGTTAGGAAATACCACCACAGCTTTGATGGTGCCACTCAGTCGATTCGGTTCACGCAGTATTCGGTCATGGCGATTTCTACCTTTCCAGCAATTAATCTTTGGCTCTTTTTTCGCGCTGCTCTCCTAATTATCTCTGCATTGCTCCAGTCACTTTCGTGTCCCGAGTCTAGCACATGTATCGCTAACATTTTGGCAAATCCGCACACGGAATACTTGGAAAGAAGAACACTAAAAAATAGTAACTTGCCAATGATTTGTTGGTGCAATGCAGATGATACTTTGGTTATTATTAATTATGACAAGAGGGAGGAGTTAATAAGCCATTGAAACTATATTAATGGTAATACCAAGTTCAGTGTGGAATTTGAATCTTGCAGTAGCACACTGCTTTTCCTTGATGGCCCAATTCACAGGAAGAGATGACGGTTAAAACAAGGATATATCGAAAACCAACTGGTACGGATGTAGTATTCAATTATAGTTCACACCATCTGAAACACATCTATGCTGCGATTGCATTCTCTGTTTCATTGGGACTTAAGTCTTTACACAGAGGAAGAGGAGAGGAGCGTCTCCGCGAAGGAGGCACTCAATAGATGAATTGACATTGGATATCCGAGACGTTTGGTGTAGCCCCAGTAGCAGATATCCATAAACCCAACTTGATCACGTACTACAGAGTGAATTGGGACGGTGGCAATCATTTATAAATAATGAACTTTCGAAGCGATCAAACTATATCCATATGTGCTGCAACCGTCTATGATTAGACATTGAGCCATCGGAAACCATGGGACTCAAAACAAGGTACAGAAATAGTAAAAGAAAACACAACACAACACATCAAAGTCCATGGTTTCGTCAGAGGGCAAGATACTACCCGGTTGCCCAAGCCGAAGTATGGTGTTGACTTAAGGGACACCACGCAGAGCCTTTGGCTGAATGGCCTGCCTGCAAGGCAGCGGAGCGAATTCAGGGAATCGCGCTCACTGGTAGCCGGCGACTGATTGCACAGTTTATACGCATTACGTTTGTTCCTTTGTCAAACAGGAGCCCAATGCTCCTCAGAATTACAGCATAACTTTGATGGAATACTATGCTTCACCTGGATGAAGCAAGGGACAGTGACTTTATTTAGTGGCATGTCACGTCTGCCACGTCACAGTGTTGTTAAGCGGACATATGTGGCTTGTTATAGGGAGAACGCTTGCCAGGCGAAAACCCACCACGTCCTGGAACAGTGCCGCCGAACCATTTGTTGGAACGGGAAAATCCCGAACCAGCCAGCTGGCACCACGAGCAGGTTGTTCGGCAAGCCAGCCAGCGATCAAGCTGGTGATAAGCGAGGAGAAGAAGGGCGCTTTCCCAAAAAATGATCGAACGTACCGTTCAAAACTGATGGGTTTGAACCAACCACTTACGAGAGATAGGACAACGAATTGCGTCCATCAGGTTAGTTGCAAAGACCACACACGTTTACATACACCAAACTGCGCACGAGAATAGCAGAAGACAAAAGGTATGTATCGAGACCAGTAACAAACGAGACTGAATACATGGCGCGACCAAAAGATTCGGCCGCAGTGGTACGCGCGCTTGACTCGGGACACGAAATTGACTGGAACGATGCAGATAATTAAACAAAAAACAAGAAAAGTAAGCCAAACATTAATTGCTGAGGAGCTAGAAGTCGTCAAGGTCGACAACTGCTTGAACAGAGTAGATAGGGTAGAACTATCTAACACGTGTCAGGCTGTCTTTATCTAGCCAGCCTACACAGGGTCGGCTGACGGACTCAAATTGGAGCGAAAACATCGAACTATCACCATTAGAATCGACACTAACAAGAGCAATGTCGCTTACATGAGAATGATCTGTGCCAAGGATCAATTGAGAGCGTACCACCAGAAGTCCCAGTTGCTCGGGTTACTTCTCGTAATCGTTATCCTACTTTGTTATAATAGGTCCAGCCAATTATGTACTAGTTCACCGGACATGAAGCAGCGCTTCTGTCAAGAGCGAGACGTAGCCATATTGCATCCCTTTATAGCGCGTTGGTCCTGTGTTATATATCAGATAGGTGAAAAAACTTCCCACTGTGAGTAAGATGAAAAAGACACAAAAACAAAATAGAAAAGGGTTTGTTGAAAGTGCAATAAGTTAGCTAAACTCGAAAATCGGACACCAAAAGGAGCGATAGTTCTAGGAGCTGTAAACGCCTACAGAGGGCACAGAGCGCCGTGAGTAAGATTTCGTTATCGTGCTGGAAGCCCGGATGCGTCTGTGTGTGTGTGTGTGTGTGTGTATCTCAGCCAAACGTGAGCTGCATTCCGAAAATCGAGCCACTCCATTTGCTAGGTACCTAATAAAACTAGAATTTCATGATTTAAGCATATTTTACGTGGTCAACCGAAAGAATTTCCGGGTCAGGACACCATTAAAAAACCGATTTTTTGTTCTAAAACAATCCGAAATTATGAAGGCCCGGTCGATTCCAAATTTATTCGCGGATAAGTTACCTATGAACATCTTACATTAATTGTACTCGAAGGCCTCAGGTTGCTTCAATTTCTATGTCAAAACAACAGACACCCTCACATCAACGATGTGCGCTCTCTAGTGTTATCTCGTTCTCTGGTTTCTCCATTTTTCATTCCATAATCTATACCAGGGGGCACTTCAGCTTTCAGTCTCACTATTGTTGCATAGGAGATCAATTGTCTGGGGAAAGTTGATTGACAGTTGCTTGTCAGTTACTAAGCGCTATTTTCAGTGCTAGACAAGTTATTAGGAGTGGATCCATCCTTTGGCTCATGTGCTGTTCAGATCCAAACTGCCGTTGCAAGATCGAAACACACATGCTATCCCTGTAGACGTTAACACCAGGACTATCTTTCTGGATCCGTGCTAACTCTGCAGCAGGAACTCTGTCCTGTTCGAACCAGAACTGAAGGTCGCTGACCACACAGGTGGAACTCGAAGCATCACCTGTTGATCGTTTTTCCGAGCTTGATAAAGGGATCGCATACATTTCACCACCATGAGAGGTGGCATCTTCAGTGCGGTGATAGGCAATGTTTAATCTTGCTTATTGAATCGTCAGTCCGTCATCCACGGGCAGGTAACTTTTGAAGGTGGCAAATTCGAGTTGCGCCACGTGATCTCTGTTCATTTGCTTCCGCGGCTGAACCATGTCTTTAGATTCGCCGGAGATCTTTCTTTCTGAGCTGATGGTACACGGGGTCGATGTCGACGTGCATGTCGATCGAATTATTAGAGCAGTACCATGTTTCTATGAATGCTCTTCTTTTCTGTGTTGTTGTTTGAGCGAAAATTACCGTTTTGTTCCAATTGAAGCTATATCCATCCTCATCTACATGTGCCGAGACAAGGTACAATGAACAGTGTATAATGTTTTCACAAGACCTCTAATGTTCTTGTATTTTTGTGGATAGTTTCCTTCCTGTCTGCCCCACATAGTTCCTTTCACAATTATTACAATTTATTTTATACACGTTTGTTCGTTCTTGTGCATTCCAAATGTCCTTTGGGGTTGACAGTATACTTCTCAAAGTAGCGGTTGGCTTATGAGCGACCATGATGCTGTGTTGTTTGAGCAATCTTGCAGTCATATACGGCAAAACGACCCTTTTGCATCATTAACAGACTATAATTTTTGTTTGCACTGTGAGCAATTAGAGGCAAAATAACGTTTAGTAACTTTCGGCGTAATGATGCAATTCCTAGCTCTGACATACGTCAGAACAGGTGAACTATTCAGTTCTTTGAATGCAGTACATCCGTCTCATTGTCAAGCACCGCAGCAGCAAGCTAGAAAATTCGACGGTACATCAAGATCTCACTCAATCGGACTTCGATGTGATGCGCTTAAGTAAGGCAGGTTGGATCTTGTGATTTCGATAAACCTCCATAGTTACTAAAAAGTAAAAGTATTTTGATAAAATTTGGCTGATTAATCTTAGCCGTTTGGTGCTTTTCGGCATTTGGCGTTAAAATTTGTGGCTTGTGAGCAGTTGGGACAAAGCATCATTATGGTTCAAATAGAAATTGTGTGTTGCCCACCTGAAAACACTGCAATACTATGACGCGTTTCGGTTATTACATCTCATCAGAGAGAGTTACCAAGCATCGAACCCGGGACCATGGGGATGTTAGTTGTGACCAGTACCCTAAGCCACTGGGTCAAGACGGGCAACGCTTGGCACAACGGTATAATGAACGATGATGAGGGTCATTTTTGAAGGACACTCGTACTTCGAAAATGACCCTCAACATCGTTCATTATAATGGTTATTATTGCCACTGTAGAAATAGAAGTGAATGTGGGCACTAATGTTAATTCATCCTGGTCAATATCAAGTGGTCACAAGGTCAGACAAGGTCATCACAAGGTCATCCTCACACACGCGTGACGTGCGTGCTACTGGTTCATTTGGATTATTTCCCTCCATCCTCTCTCCATCTTCTCGCAGCGTTGTCTCTGGACGCTCATTCGAACCGGTTTTACCAGCTCTACACAGTGATCCATCATACGTGGAAATAT